TGCTTATTTGATTCTTTGATTTGATTCTGATAAATATGGTATAAATAGTACATATTTATATATATTAGAAATATTACAAGAAACTCGTAATAAATTTCAAAAACTAAATTTAAATTGAGTAAAATAAAATCTAAAAAATGTATACACAAAATTATTTTTGTAGACAGAATTTTCTTTTTCTTGTTATAAAGTGAAGTCTCTTTTTGTGCTATTCATTTTTAATATTAACTGGAACAGATTTTACTTCAGTAAAATAATTTAACATAATATACTTTTGTAGGTAAAATGTATTAGATTTAACTTAAACCAATTTCAATCAATGTTTAAAGCTTTAATACTATCAATATTTGCCTATTGAGCAACAAAAATGGAATGATTTTCTATATTACTTGTATTATTTTCTGCATTCAACAAGTAACTTAGTTTTGATTTGTATTTTCTGAAAAAATAAAACAATTTTATAAAAAAAACTTTATCCAATTTTATCTTATTTAATACAAGTTTCAAAATTTAAAGCAGTTTCACAGTTTATCGTCGAAGTTAATGCTGAAAATATTATTTACTTATAGAAGTTATATAACCAAAAGGACATTAGATAATATTACAGAAATGAATAACCAAAATATAAATGATCTTATAGGGTAAATTTGAGAGGATTAATACTATTATCAGATAAAGTCTATATCTTTGCACCAACAAAAAACTATTGTCATTGGTCCTTAATTTGAAGTTTTACTAATGAAACTTGTCACTATTATGAACTACTTGTTTAGTAATTGAATTAATTTGATTTGAGTTTTTCCTTGAAACGATGATTAATATTTAAATTTAGCAATCAATAATCTATTTGTGTAATCATAGATTAAATAATTCTTAAAATAACTATGATTCTCTAAGCAACTAAGCCGTTTTATAGTTGAGTCTGAAAAAGTAATCGACGTTTCGATTTTAGTGATATTGAAATGAAACCTGTAGCTCTTTTGTGATGAACACGTAGCTCGTGTTCCAACTAATCTTATATTATGTTACAGATTGTTACTTAATTACAAAAATCATCTAAATTGCCTTTTTACACTTTTTTCATATGTTAAGTAACGGTTTAATTAGAAACAATACTCAGTTAGTTCTTAATCCCAATTTTCTTAATTTAAATATAAAGAAATTTCGGTTCACGATTCACTATAATCACACTACACATAAAAGAAACTACAAACATGACAAAAAAACATATTTATTGTAGCTAGAAAGTAATACTCTCGGAATTGCATCTATATCAAGCGTTTCATTTCGAAAGGTCAACATGATATAGAAACATAATACCTACACAAAAAAATGTAGGGGATTACCATTATTATTTCATTTTCCTACTTTTTTTACATAATGGGCCCTTTTCTTCGAGAACCTAGTTTCTACTGTACAATGGTACCTCGCTTAATGAGCATTTTGAATAACGAGCAAAATAAATTGTAAGAAAAATGACTTCAAAATCGAATGCATTATAGTATATTACATTAGTTTATATGGGGAAAATTGTTTCACTATACGAGTAAAACTCCGGAAACTTTGGAACGGATTATGCTCGTTAAGTGAGGTTCCACTGTATATGTAAATATAATGCCACTGTTATATAATCCAAATATTATCTTGCGGTTCTTCGTTGAATTAAGTGTGGCTCCCATTAATATATGAAAATATATTAAGGTGGCTCTACAATATATGAAAAACCGGAATGAGGCTCACATTGACCTCTTGTATGCCCACCTCTGATATATGCTAATGGTTGTTACAAGACGAATGGTTATTGTATCAAGATATTAATTAACTAGTATGTTCACTATAGATCTATAGAAATTGACATCTAATGTATAAATTGGTTTCAAGTGAACCAAAACTGACTCACATTGTGCTATTCATGATCTAGCTTATGCAGAGCACAGGCCTCAATGCTGGGAAAGCTCAGCAAAGGATTCATTACAATAATTACTAATGTTATTGCTGTTTGCCTGTACATGTCTAGTGCTTTCAAATAATCTTCCACTTGTATATATACTTCTTGAAATTACCTTCCATTAATTAATGTGAGCAATTTGTAATACAAACTTCTTGAAATATTTACCAAAGTGCATACACTCGTTACATAATTAAATGGAAATGATATTTACATTGCAGTTGCTAATTCAATGTTCAATTCAATTAATTAATTGAACGACTGGAACTTTTTAAGATTTTATAGAAATAAAAAGAAAGTTCAGATTTTTGATATCCAATTATTTTTACTAAGTTACATATAACTATTGAATGAATAGTACTCAATTACTGCTAAAAAAAATGTATACAGTCATACCTTTAGTTGGATGCGTTCTATGAAATATGTTCCTTAAACAAAACTTTGTTTTTAGAGGTGTTTTTTTAAAATTAACAGTCAACTTACATATAAAGCGAAATTTTATTTTCAAATATGAGTCTAAATTTGATTTGTGATTTAGTTGTTGTTATTGCTGTTGTCCTATCGCAAGCATGGTTTGAGGGTCCACCTTGTTCTTAGTTTACTTTTTCGCTATGAAGGGTCCTACATTAAGGTCCTACACGAGTGCCCTAGTGTACGCATCTTAGCAACTTAACAACAAAATATGTATTCTTGAATTCTATGTAATTCGGTATCCACATTCGTGGGCCTTTCTGCATTTCAGACTTTTTTTTATTCTATATAAAAAAATATACACAAAATTTACAAAGTTTTGTTTGCAGCATAATATTAAAGTAAATATCATATCGATAATCCATACAGTATAATTGTGAAATAAACATATCAAGTTGTTTGTTTGTTCTTCATAATTGAAGTGTATTTAAACGATCGCCGGAGAATATTTAAAATTAAAATGAGATTATGAATGCGGCGGAGGATGAGGGTAGTGGTCGAGAGTGTTTTTCAATAGGTAGACGGGCACGGATTTAGAAGGGTTTAAGGGTGCAGGAGAACCACCCTCGGCGTAGCCAAACACAGAATCGTTTTCGAGGTTGGATGCTGTCACGGATCCGTGGACCGGAAGTCCTGCGGAGCTCGCTCGCATCCCGGGCTTTGTTCATTTGCTAATCTGCCCTCCAGCTTCGACCGACTCATTAACACACACTCCATTAAATTAACTGCACTCGGGGAAATGAACTGGCACCAAAACCAGGGGTATATCAGAAACTCACTTACACGCATAATTTATCATACGCTTTTCTCTCATCTGCACACACATAAACACACACACGTACCTTTTTTTTTTTCTCTATATTCATCCCATTATCCTGTCGATGCTTCTTCGTCCTTCTTTCGCATCATGTTCTTTCACCTTTTTTTTCATCCAACTCCTGGCATCCTGATGTATTTATCCTCCCTCCTTTTTACCTCCGCGCCCAGATGGGATCCGGCTAAAGGGGAATCTGAATATTTAACGAAGTTTTTAATTGGATTCCGACCGTTTTCTATTGCCGCTTTTCTATTAAGGACTCTTTATGTTATTTCTTACGTTTCAGTTCGCGTTTCCGCGATCCACTTCATTGTCTGGCGCTTCGAGGTGGCTCGAATAAATCACTGTTAAAAATACAGTCCAAATATTTGCGATTCAATTTCAGTACCATAATGGAAGATGACGAGGATGAAGCCAACACCGAAAATTTCCTTTTATTGATCAATCGCTTTTGAATTATTATTTCTGTATTTTCCGCATAAAATCATATGGCTTAGAGAAAATACAAAGAAATTATTTCGTTCTTCTAAATTTCACATGTTTAATATTAAATTACAGCAATATGTTGCACTATACTTCTATAAGACATTTTAGAGTTTTATTGTTTGTGTTTAATTCTAATTGAAATAATTTTCATGGACAATTTTGCATTTGCTTCCTTTTCTTCTTAAGCAATCTGTCTCATATAGATAATAAGCTAAATTGGTGACTTTGATAAAAGCAGATACATATATACACACGCACAAAACACTTAAGTATTATCAAATCTATATGGCAAATCTTGTGGTTTATATCTCATTAGTCGACGACTAGGCAAGTAGGTTTGGGTAGACTTCTATCATATGGTAATATCTTCTACTGGTTTTTGCGATCTTCTCTCTCACAGTATTGATGTTAGCAAGGTGGTGGACAAAAATAAAATAAAAAGTATTGTGGGCACCAAAAACATTGTAAGCAGTAGGTTCTGTGTGTGCATATTGAAAGTATATTCAAATAAAAGTTTAATAATACTTTTTGTTATGAAATATCTAAATGTTTGAATATTTTGAAATTGTTCTGAGGCATACAATTATAATGTTATTATCCAATGTTATTTTTTTTTTGAAATGTAAACTAATTGAAACTAAATATATTTTAAATATTTAATAAAGATTGTTAGGGAAATAATGGGGTTAGGATTGTAAAAATGTTATTGTTAATATATTACGAAGGAAGCAAGCATATAAAACTAATTACGTAATTACAGGATAAAGTAAATTCGAAACGTAGAGAATGTAAGTACCATCAAACCGGCAAGAGCACAGAGGCTCCGCCGCACTTTGTTAAAAGTTGTTTTCTTTGTGAGGTAAATTCTTCGAAGCATCGAGAAGCCAACCCACTACACAGCTATTGTGATTGGTTCTAAGATGAAAAGAAAAAAACGAGAAAACCCGGAACGAACGTTCCACTTTTTAAGCAAAAATGCAACTTGCATAAAGCATTTCACGTTTATAATTTATTTTTTGTCCCTGTCCTCAAAATTAAAAAATATGGATGCTCCACGTTGCAACTGTTGCTTTATAAATAAGAATAGGGCATCATTAGGTTTAATGTCGCTGCATAACTTTGCTTATAAAATATGGCACTTGTGCGCCTCTATCTATTCGTTGTTGTGTCCTTTTTGTTGTTGTTTTTGTGCATTTTCTCATGTTGCCGTACAAAACTGATTTACGGTGTCCCGTAAAAAAAGTGAACTTCATGATGATAAAACATTTGCATTTGCAGAGAACCCGAAGTTCAGCGAACCCATCACCAATGTCACGGCCTCGGTGGGACGGGAGGCCATCCTCGCCTGCCTCGTAGAAGACTTGGGACAATACAAGGCAAGTTAACCGAATCGATAGTTACGAAGTTCCGAAGCCACACTCGTGGCCATATTCATAAAACTACTACTCAATTATTTGCTACCAGCCGGCCGACCGACCGATCGATATACCCAACTATTAATACCCCGGCTGTTAGCTGTTACACAAGAAAATCTCGATGTTTCCACCAAACACTTCCCTAAATTTTAATTAATATTCGATTTAAGTACATATGCAAATTTTTCAGCAGTTTTTTTTATTAGTAATCAGATTAATACGCTTTGTCCTTCAAATTTAAATTAACAAGTTCACTAACTTTTTTATTATTCCTCTTTATTTATTACATGATAAGCTTGACAAAAATTACAGGCATTTTTTTTTTAATTTTCTGTAACAATTATATTTGCTATCAGATCAAATAAATTACTCAATAAAAGAACAAATAATTATTGAAAATTAGGTACGAAAACCAAAGATTTTTTCTTTGTTTTGTAATTATGTTCATGAACCGAGGTTTTACAGTATGCCACACACCATGATATTATATTTTCTATAAGATTTATATTCGATATGAAACCATATAAATTACTCAATAAAAGTACAAAAAAATATTGAAAATCATATTTGCTTATGATAAATAATTATACTAATTACTTATATAATTTTCTATAATGGATTAATTGAAATACTTAAAAATAGCTATGAACAAAAAATCATTCTTTATTCATTTTGTTTCTCAATAGTCATAACGTAAGGATAGAACGTGTTTGAAGGATATGAAAAATAATAAAATATATGTTGAAAATATGTTTATAAAAATAATTGTAAAAAAATCTATTAAAATGTTAAATTAATTATCACAGGAATATTACTCGCACAAAATTTCCATTAAATACATATTAGCTTTAAACTTCAATATGAGTTTAATATTGATTTACACGTATTTTATTATATTGACGTCCACTTTTTCTATATATTAAAACTAGTATAAACTAAACCAAATCATGGTTGTAATTTTCAATTTCTACTGTTTAAACAAGGTAAATATTAAATTTTATACACAATATGAATAATCTATGTCTATAAACAAAAAATGCACTCCAAGCACAATATTTTTCAGACTATAAGTTGCACATTAAATATAAGATTTTTTACATACACAAAAATTCGCTTGGAACTTTGCACTTAATTCACTTCTAAAAACTGTTTGAAAAAGGAAATATTTATAAAACTAAACTATTTTCCCTACTTTCTATTCTGGAAGAAAAATATATTTACAAAAACCTAATCTATGCGAGGTTTGGAATTTTGATTGAATTCATTTAAAATTAGTATTTTCTTAAAGATCAAAAAATTTCTTAGTTAGAGCATCTATGCGGGAACCAAAATTATGAACGAAAACCGAAGATTTTATTGATTTTGTAATTGCTTTTGCGAACCGAGTTTTTACAGTAAATTAAACTTATATAAATGCCCACACCATGATATTATAATACGCAATAATTAGTCTTTCAAAATTAACCTAAGCTTTAGAACAAAATTAATTTCCTTTAATTTTAGAAATTCAATTTATTAAATGCATAGTTTTGTAATCTACAGTCACTGAAAATTGCATATATTTGTTATGAGTCACATCTAAAATTAGTTTGGTATTTCGAAGCATATAATAGTATATACGAAGGTAATAAATGGATTTACAGTGAATTAAATTAAATTAATCCCGTATAAAGTCCATTGAAAACACAGGCAACACTCGCAAATGAAACGTAATTCCCTTTAAATGTTTGTTAATTTAATCAGGCAAACTAAAATATATGAAACTTAATAACCGCACGCTGCTAGTATAACTCTAATATTTGATATATTTAATTAACAACAAGAAAATTGAAATTAATATTTGTAAAAAAATACGATATTAAGGTAAGTATTTAAAATTTTAACAAAATTATAAATTTATGAATTAAAGGTTTTCTGTTTAAAAAAAATCCATTATATAATTAAATATTTTGAAATGTAATAAGCACAAACTGCATTGAGAATACATAAATGCAAGCTAAATGAATGGGAACTAAATGGAATACATTTGCATAACTGCGTTATGCGAAGTCACAAGCTTTTAAATTTGTGCAAATGGAATGAATATGCTTTAAATAAATTGTTTGCGTCTTATATAATAATACTATATTTAATTAAAATTAAATGAATTACCTACAGATTTTTATTTTTAACCTTTTTCAAAAGCTATTTAGTAAATGTTTTAGGTTTAAATATTTTGCAATTAAAACCACATGTTTTGCAAACAGTATGGAAATTTGCAAGTCAGAAGAGAAATGTAGATATTCTACAAACCCGACTCTGGAGCCGCATGCGGCTCTTTTATTTGCAGCTAATAGCTCTTAAAACGGTGGCTAAGGAGATAAGGCAACGTGGCCGCACATTGCCTAATCTTGACTAAATAAATATTATTTATTGCAACGATACAAAAGAAACAGAAACATAATTTAACATTTCTTCACAATAATAATTAAAAATAATATGCAACTGCTGAAAATTAAATCAATTTAGAAATGCCTCTTGCTTCAAACAGTTTGTTCTTGACAAATACCAGTTTTTTTTTCTTAATGTAAGATATTGTATGTTACATTTACATTTTATGATAGAAAATAAATGGTCTTATCAATAATAATGGCTGGAAATGATGTGTTAATTATTCTTCGGTAATAGTTCCATTCTCAATCTGTAACAAGAAGCATTTAGGGCCGTAAAATTATACCTGCCTTACATATCATTTAGTAATTAACTTTCTGTTTCCATGATGAACTAATGTCGCTTTACAATTGGGTCATCACAATCAAAGTTATAAAAGCGTTTATATAATCAATTCTCGTTACTGAGCTTAATTGCAAGAGCAATATGTATTGAAATAGTTAGAAATATAGAGATTGGGTCAAAGTAATTAAATGTATTTTTTACAATAGTAATTTTGTTTGTGGTATAAATTTGTAATGTAAGTAGGCAGTTATATTAAAAAATACTGAGTGGTCATCTTTGTAATAATTTATGTATATATCTTTTAAATTTATAATGAAATATAGTCATTAGCCATCTGGAAAAGTTAAAATTATGAAAAAAAAAAGAAATAAATAACAGAAATATTAAATTGTTCAGGAAATTTATACTTTTAGATGAAATATAAATACTGCAGTAATCACTCTGTAATAAGAAGTATTTAGCACAAGAAATATGGTTAATAAGTAATCATAATTATTTTTAAGGTTTTCTCACTATTATTAAATAAAAACTAATTTTGCTCTGAAACATTTGATAATTTATTCCTAAAATTTGTTTAAAAACCGAAACGCTTTCTCCTATAAGAATTATTTTGAAATGGATATATACTATATCTTTCGTACTTTAATTAAGCGGTTCCGCCAATATCCAGACTGATCGAAGCCGCACAATACGAGGTATTGCTTTAATTCATTATCGATTACTTTGTTTCCGAATTATGATCTGAAACTGAAATGCAAAAAATAAAGAAAACACTCTACTTACATTTTAATATTTTAATTGAGATAATATTTCTCTGTTTGGGCAGAAATACTTATGGTCAATAAACCTTTGCAGAAGTTTACTTTAGTTTCATTTTTATTTCTATTGTATATATATTTTAATAATTTGTTGCAATAAATATTATTTTATTATTTATTTGTATACTTGCTAGCAATATAATTCAATATATTTATAGTCTTGTCTATTTGTCAGCAAACATGGATTTTCCATTGATAATTTCAAACAAAGAGTAATAAACAAATTAAAAAAATAACCACATGAATCTCGTTCAAGGAAAATCATAAATGTATATATATATTAATTTTATTTCTAAAATTTCTAAAATTTATTTTGTTAATTATCTTTGTAAATAATGTACTTGAAGATAAAAACAAATATAAAACGCAAGCCTGTGCGTGCTATAATTTAAAAGTAATAACGTGTAGCAAAGATTATGTAATTTTTCATAGTTGTTTTCATTGTGAAGTAGATGGATTGGAAAACATTAAAATCGCGCGTAAAAACAACAAAAAAGTGGTAATATTTGTCTGCCCCGTATAAACAATAATGGATTATAATCCGGCTTATGCCTGCACTCAGTTAAACCTTTTAAATATTTCATCATTCAATGTCCAGATTTGAGTGGGTTCATCGCCACAGTTTATTTTTTTAAATTTTTCGATGTACCAACGAACGGATTTAATTGTAAAATTGAACATACTGTCAGCATAATCTCCTAGAAAATAGAGAGATAATGGATTAATTAATTCGATTACAGACTAACATTTGTAAATCACGTAAAAAAATCCTGAGATAATCCTTTGAAATATTTAGTTTAACTAATCGTCAATACTATAATTATAAGTTGTGTTTCATAGAATTACTTGTGTTATGTAGAACTTTGATAACTTTAGTTATTCCCGGGATTTCTCGAGCAAGTTTTCTCGGTTTTTTTTTAAATTTATATTCTTTATTTTTTCTCAACTATTATTATAACCAAATACTATAAGTACAATTATATTAATAAAAAAGCCTTTATATTAGAAACAAAATTAATCTAGATATATAAAATTAAATTCTTACGAAATGAATACGAATTATTTATACTTGAATGATGATTTTTTTCACTTTCATTTAATATATGTGGATTTAAGAACACTTTTTTAAAATTATTAATAGGCATGAAATAATTGTGATGTTAAGAGCATTTATTTATATAAACCTCATTTTAGAATTATAATTTATCATTTTCTGTAATAACCTCCATGGATACCTCCGTATCCGCCGTCAAATCCACCTACATAACCGCCTCCCAAACCACCAAATCCTCCTCCATAAGAAGTGTGAGAGTGAGTGTGAACCGGGACAACGACTGGGGTCGGGACTGCAATCTTCTTAACAATTGGGACTGGGACATGAACTGGGACAGCGACTGGTACCGGCTTAGCTACAGTAATAATTGCACC